ACAGATAGAAGTCCATTATCTGAGGCCATGAAAATATCATTAGCAACCTTCACCAGAGCGGTTTCAGTGCTATGAGCCAGACTGAAAGTATTCAAAAAGTTCATTATGGTGTAAGTGATCACACACTTCTTTGGCAGCTACTTTCTTAAGAATTTTAAATTAGATAGGCAGATTGGATATAGGTCTATAATTGACCAAGTCATCTGGGTAAGAAACACAGTTTCTTAAGCAAAGGTTTAATTACAACAATCTTAAAAGCCTTTGGTATGTATCCCTTTAACAGAGATAGATTAATCAGATCTAAAATGGAGGAGGATATCTAAGAGAATACCTCCTTAAATAACCTGGTTGGAACTGGATCTAACACACAAGTTGAAGGCTTAAATGAAGACAATAATTTTGCTGAGAAACCATTGCTCTGAAAGTTCAACTGGATCTAAGCAGTCTAAACCCGGTTTAGATTCTAAGGCTATCTCAGATGCTGCCTCACCCTCCAGAGACAAATCAATCCTAGTTAGAAGAGTGCTATTGACCTTTTTCTTAATAAAATCAATATTATTTAAAATGAATCTTATAATATTATTACTGCTAAGAGCGGGTGGGATGGACGGTTCAACAGAGCACGGCTCTGGGTGAGTTTGGCAACTGTATTAAAAAGATATTTTTATCCTCCTCTATTAATGAAGAGAAGTATGCTGCTCTTGCTTTATGAATTGTTTTCCTATATAGCAGTAAACAATATTTTGAGACTAGGTAGGATTTCCATAGGAATGTAGCACCATTTTCTTTCCAGTTTCCTAGCATTTTGCTTTGGATTGTGCAGCTCTGCTTTAAAACAGGGAGCAAGCTTTCTTTTTTAAAGGTTTTCATTTTTTTTAAAGAAGCTGTGTTGTCTAAGGCAGTTTGCAGAGAACTAGCAACCCCATCAACAAAATCATCAACCTGTGAAGGGGAATAAACTAAGCTTTTGCACTCTGCAGCACTGCTCAGCGACATAGAGGAGAGAGAAAGTGAAACAGATTCTTTAAAATGTATAACATTCCCTGATAATGATCTTCCAAAATGAAACCTTCTTTTGTTGGAGGAGGAGTCTGTTAAAGTAATCCTGAAGGTTATTGAAAAGTGGTCAGAGAGGACAGGGTTGTGAGGAAATACTGTTATTTCTTCACATTCTATGCCATATGTCAGTACGAGGTCCAAAAAACTAAATAAATAAAAAGCTGAAAAAGTTTGAAAATGAGAATGTGTGGGACTATTCACATTTAGAACAAATCCAATAATGTCTAAGATAGCATTAAAGGCAGCTGTTGAGCTATCATCTTTAATATCAGCATGGATGTTAAAATCCCCCACTATGATTACCCTGTCAATATTCAACAACAAATCAGATGGTAATAAGTAAGGACCTGGTGGACGATACAAACGTACAAAAAGAATAGGCTTTATGGCTTTGCAATTTGGATTAGGGAAACTAATGGTCATTTGTTCAAAAGAGTTGTTATTATTAACTCCCTTTGGAGTAATCAGTAAGTCAGACTGAAAAATTCTGTGAAAATGTAAATACCTTGAAGGAGTTGCCTCTTTAACAGGGAGTTTTAGAGAAAGAAAAATGTCCCAGTTTCTGCATGTTTGCTCTTTTTTCATTTTCAGTCAAGTTCAACTTGTTGAATATGAATAATCATATTTGTTGAATGATTTAGGCTAAGTACTTCTATTGATAAAACTTAAACATAACAGTAGCTTATAAATGGACCTTATCAGATTTAATTGTATTTTTATATTTGATCTTGATTTGCTGCTACATGCTTTTTACTGCTGTTGAATCACCAGAGACACATTTGAAGCCCACCCACACCCATTAATTATTAGCTATGTTATTGTCATATATTGAGGTAGTATCTGTCAGCTATATCTCCCTTTTTTTGCTCCTTTTCTTAAATATATTCTGGTAATCCTCATAAGGCGTCAAGAATGTTTTAAGTTCCACTGGTGAGAAATCCACAATTTTAGACTTCTTATTTCCTTTAGCTGCCTTTGCGGATTGTGTTCTATGCATTCCACTGATGAGGGCTTCTTATAGTGGGTGACTTACTGCTGCCCTCATGTCAACTGTTGCTCCATTAAACAAACAAAAAAAGATTTACATTTGTATCAGATTAAAACTAAACAGGTATAATTATTTATGTGGTTAGTGTGGATTACTCAAACCATTTACTGACCCCAGAGTCTGCAGTTTGTAGTCTGAACTTTTTACAAGATTCTCCAGGTGTTGAACATCGGATCCCTTCAGGTTGTTCTTCGTCAGGTCCAGTTCAGTCAGATGGGAGGGGTTTGATTTCAGAGCTGATGCCAGAGAAGTACAGCTGATCTCTGACAAACTGCAGTTCTCTAACCTGGATAAAGAACAAAACATGTGAACTGAAGCCAATACATGCATTTTTTAAAAACCAGATGAGTGAAAGAGCTCTCATTAGCATTTACGCTAACAGAGTTTAAGATCTGCTGACTTCAACTCCATCCATACAAACTCAGGTTCTGCACCAAAATTACTCTAGGTTTACAGAAAAAGAAAGAAAAGGTCTGTAGAATATTTGTAGGAAATAATAACAAATATTGATAACGTAATAAAATGTGTCTATTAATTAAATTAGAAATTTCTTCTCACTTCTTTTAAATTATTCTTCTAAATAATAATGGCTGTTAAATAAATAAATAATTATGTATTTGTTGATTATTTATACAGTTTTTATAACAGTGTTTTTGGCAGACGGAGCTAAACTTCACTTTTCTAAGCTGGGTTAAATCCCATATCACAAACTTTACACAAGGTGTTTCATTTAAACCGGGTTCTGAGTTTTTTTTTATGAGATATCACATCTTGAACATACAATTTTTTTTACCTATAGGGGCTTTTCCATAAATATGTGCAACCTTAAAAGTTCTTTAGATTATGATGGTTATTCTAATAATAATAGTTGAATTCCAGCACACTTAATCCATTAAAATTGACTAAGACACATCCCAACATTTGACCATCATATTAGCATTATGCAAGGCTCAATACTTTGCCCTGTTGGTTTTACACGGCTCAGGTACTATTCAGCTATATGCAGATGGTGACGTTCTTTATACATCTGCTAAGTGGCTTATTTAATACTAGTTTGCTTTAAAACTATCAAAACACAGCCAGGACACAATTGGAACAGAAGGGAACCGTGAAAGAAAGGACCATATGAACACCTAGCCAGATTTGTGACCTCTCGGACCTCTGCAAACACTTTGATAATGTTTCCCAAGAGAAAGCTGGCTGTGCCATGTGCTCCCCAGTTTCACCCATAGTGATGAATATCTACATGTAGGAGGTGGAGAGCAGAGAGCCTTCCTGGAAAGATGTAGAAACATTTTCAAAAGTCTGGTTGCCTTAAAAAATTAAGCAAGCTTTGTGGTTGCCATAATGCCATAAGAAATCAATTAATTAATAATTTGGGATTCATTTTTAGTTAAGGGTTAACATTCATGCCGTTAAATATGGTAACAGATTGACAGGCCTCCCTACATTTTATGATGTGATATTCTGATGTTCCAAATTTCAATTTATAAAATTTAGTAGGTATGTTATGCCAAAGGATTTGAGAAATTCATAAGTGGGTCTTGGCCTAAAGACAGGGTGTGGGGACCACAGAACATGTGCGCTTAGAGCAACTTACAAGCACTGCCTCTCATATCAGATATATCTCTGCTGCTTAGTGTCAACATAACTTTGTCATAAATATTGGCACCAAAATAAAATACAAAATATTACCTCAATGTCTGTAGTTTGCAGAGAGGAGTCTGTAGAAAACTACAAAACTTCTTCACCCCAGCATCTTTCACATGTATGTTGCCACTCAGATCCAGTTCTGTCAGATGGGAAGGGTTGGACTGTAGAGCTGAGACCAGAGACGCACAGCTGATCTCTGACAGACTGCAGAGCTTCAATCTAAACAAAGAATAGACATGAGAGCTAAAGCTAACTTTATACAGATTAAAACTGAGAGACAAGCAAATATATAATAAAAATAAATGACTAATTGAATTGAATGTATGTGATCCAGTCCAATAAACGTAAAGCATTATAACAAGTTGATAAAGATTACTAGTTGATTTGTTTTTGACCAAATGTCTCACAATGTGAACACAGGCCACTTGAGGATATTAAGAAACCATTACTGTTCACCACAGTGCAAAGCAGATGATGCAAATATGAATGCAGTGGCACAACCTCCCAGCTTAGTAATGAAAAGGGCTACAAATAAAGACACCAACACATTTATTTAATGTACACCTACATTATTTTTTATCTATTTTAATTAGATTATTGAGACACAGTCCATAAAATAGGAGTAGTAACTGCAAGCCGGTCTGATGTTGGCACCCTTTTAAGACAGTCATCAATATAAGGAGGACCAATATGGCCCTTTTATGAAGAGTCTGCCCTTGTGTTCTTTTCTGGTTTGAAAAATGAGCCCACAATACAAAAAAAAAACAAGCCACTCTCACTGTCTGGCTTTTTCTGCAGGTTTTACCAATACTAACATACATATTTACATGAAAAAGCCAAAGGTTTACTAAATATGTACATTTTTAGGCATGACTATACCAGATATTGTAATCAATATTTGGGCAATCAAAACTTAAGAGATAAAAAGGTAGGTGGATGACAGATGGACAGACAGATAGAATGACAGATACGAAATGGTTATAGATAATAACTGTAATATTTATAATAATTTATGCTATGATTTCCACTATGATAACTTTTTATGTAGCTCTGCTTCTGTCTTCTTGAACCCCAGTGGGCCTCAGCAGATGGCCGCACACACTGAGCCCGGTTCTGCTGGAGGTTTCTTTCTGTTAAAAGGGAGTTTTTCCTCTCTACTGTTGCTACAAGCATGCTTAGTGTAAGGGATTGCATTCGAGTCATTGAGTTGATGCAATCAAATGGTTTTCCTTAGATAGAAAACTTTGAATCAATTTGACTGTATGATCTGGTGATCTGTTAAGTACCTTGAGATGACTTGAGATGACACTATAGAAATAAACTGAATTGAATTGAATGTTGAAGTACGCACAAATATATCAAAGTGCATCAAATAACAATAGAAATCCTCTCATATCAGACTGTGTTTTCATACTTTTAGCTGCAAGATGCAAAAAAGAGGATTGTGTTGAAAAGGAATTAATCTTATAAAATCTTTAGAAAGATTTAAATCCTTCTATTTGTAATTTCATAACTTATATCCTCATCCAGGTACTGACACTAAAATGATAGCCAGAGATACAACCAAAGAAACAAAATGAAAACAAGGCTCCACCTGGATCTGTTGAATATCAGCCATATGTCTGCAGTATAAAGTTAAAACCAATTTGCATCGGAAATATCAGCACTAAACAAAAACATGGTGACTTACTTTAATGTCTGTAATTTGCAGAGGGGGTTCTGTAGAAAACCACAGAGCTGCTTCACTCCAGAATCTTTTAGATCTTTGTTCACACTGAGGTCCAGTTCTGTCAAATAGGATGGGTTGGACTTCNAGATCTTTGTTCACACTGAGGTCCAGTTCTGTCAAATGGGATGGGTTGGACTTCAGAGCTGAGACCAGAGAAGCGCAGCTGATCTCTGACAAACTGCAGTCCTCCATTCTGTATAAAGAGTAAAACATTTAGAATTAAAGAGAAAATTAATTCCATGGAATGAAGTAAAAATCACAGATATACAGAGAAAGTAAAACTAATAAAACCAGAATATGTTATCTTATCATTAAGATTAGTTTATTAGTTTACATCACAGAGGTCAGGGCTATAATACAACATATAAATATACAAGTAACAATCAATCAATCAGTATCAATAGCAGTAATACGCAGATTTAAGTCCATACCTTGAAACACATTTTATTATTTTATTGCTTTCTGTCTATCTACTGCCAATGAATTAATAATATGCTAGTGGAATGAATAAATCTTAATTTTTAAACTTTTTCATTTATTTTTTATTTTGATCATTTCTCATCTGGCAGAGTACAACTCTGCATTGTTATACTGCTACACTGCCAGGAGAATCCTAACAGATTCACTTTAACAATTGGAGCATTATGGTCTGCCATAATTCCATCAGTCTGTAAAGAGAAACCTTTATTAGAAATGGCTGAGGGAAATATTTCAGATGGCATTGTGACAGAAGAGAGGGATTAAAACGAATAGAGGGAAGCTGGGGTAAAAAGTTAAAAGAAATAAAGTAATAAATGAACAATAAAGATAATACAAAACACCAAATAGGTTTTTTTCTACACTTTAGGAAGAGAGAAATAAAAAAAATAGTGCAACAAATAACACAAGCATATATAACACCAACATCACTGAAGAGTACAGATTTCTCTATACCCTTTTTCAGTCAGCAGAGTTAAAGGTGAACCCGGCATGGATAACAATTTAATGGTGACAACTGAAGATCATTGCTCAAATACAAACCAAGAGCAAAGGCCTAACAGCTGATCCTTAGCCTGCTGAGGTTTAGCCTACAAATTTACTTTGGTAGCTTTAAAAGTGTATAGTTACATGTATACTACTGTTTCTTTAGGCTTAGGGCTTAGTGTAGCCACATGAGATTGTTCAGGATATGTGTTTGGTGACAGGAGGACCAAACACATATCCTAGAAAGTTCTGGAAAATGACTGTAACTCCACAGTAATATTTAACAAGTTTTTTTTATTATTTTGTTTATTATTGACATATAAATGGAAGAAAGTTCAAAGAAGAATGAACTATCAGCTGGGCCAATCCAGTTCAAAAGAAAAAAGACATTTAATTTCTATTAATTGATCAGTATAGTATTTGTCATAAAGTTTCTCTAGTATCGAAAAGGCAGAAATAGCACTAATTTAAGACATAGTGTCTTACCTCAATGCCTGCAGTTTGCAGAGGGGAGTCTGTAGAAAACCACAGAACTCCTTCAGTAGTGTGTCTTGCAGGATATTCCGACTCAGGTCCAGTTCTTCCAGATGGGAAGGGTTGGACTTCAGTGCTGAGCCCAGAGAAGCACAGCTAATCTCTGACAAACTCCAAGGCTCCAATCTAAATAAAACAACAACAAAAAAAACGCATGAGCTGAACTGTGGTTGAAAGTGGTAGATTCTCTTAGATTAAAACAAGACAATCATAAGATTCTCTTTGGAACGATCACATACTCCCTGGGAAGGAAGCATATTTATTTTCAAATTCCAATGTCATTCAAAAAACAGTCTAGTACATTTCTCTGACACAATGCTTTCAAAAGAGCCCCACCTTTTTCAGGGACTTTTTTATACCAAATTCCAATATGATAGTATATCTGTGTTCAAGTATGTGTCTGAAGAGTACGTGCTGGAGTGTGTTAAACAATTTGGGTTTTGTGCTCTGTTTTTATCTTTATCCATGTGTGTGGCTAATGTCTATTTGAGTGTAGCTAATAGGTTATACAAACAGACCTCTGATATTGCATGATTAGGAATCAGTGTCTAGCTCTACTAAAAGCTCCGGCTTGAAAACCTCTTCCTCAGGTAAACATTAGGAACATTTGAAACAGAAATGAACTAATCCTATGTATGAAATGTGAGAGAGTTTCACAGTTCAGATCAACATTCAAATCAATTCAGGTATGAATGTGCTCAGTGGTGGTGCTTGAGTAAGATTGTTTATATTTTTTCAGTTTGTCTGAGTCCCAATAATGTCCATCTCTGATCATACTAACTAAAGATCACTGGAGGCAAAATATTACCTGCTAATAACCTTTCAAACCCAACATGTCTATTATACTACCAATCCCAAAATGTCATTGTAAGGAATATATTCATAAGCAATATATAGTCCTTTCTGTGCTTTGGTTAGATTCTGGCGTTGGGCCCTATGTCTTTGTTTTCAGGATGTTCAAGCTAGATTTTCTCTGGGAGAAGAATGATCCCATACTCTCATGAACCACTTTATTATGGTACGTTCACATCTAACATAAAACCTGTCTGACTTAGGTTTCCCATGGTAAGTTAATTAAGTAGTAAAAAGAGTGAAAAATGTAAATGAAAAGGAGGCACTGAAATTATTCATACCTATCTATTGTGATGGAATTCTGGCATGATGTTTTTATTTATTTTTAGACATCCTATGGAAAATGCTAAATGAACAAAGCTCAGGGGTTGAATCATGGTGGTACATTTTTTTCATATGTACCTATTGATAAAAGAAGACAAATTTCAGTTTATGTTGTTTTATTATTAGACTTCTTTAAGCTGTTTGTGCTTGTGTTTGTAGTACTTGCAGAGAAACAAAATAAATTTCATGAAAACATCTGAATAAGACATAAGTATTAAAGACGACGTGTTTTCTTATTCTCAGATTTTTTTCAAAACCAAAATCAAAGAGTATTACATACTTCAAATATTTTTGTATATCAAAATAAACAATTCTGAAGAGCAAATGAAAGCCTGAAATAAGAAAAAAAAACATTAATTTACAAAGTTAACACCTGTATAAATCGTTATTTATACATTAGGATGGTGGATTATAAAAAAACGGAAGAATTAATTAGTTATTTAAAAAGTCAAAGTATCAGCAAATTATGTTGGATACACTGAGAAAACTAACCTAAGAATCTTAAGTTTGCACATTGAACTCTCCAGTATCTCACACAGGTGCTTCAGCTTAGAGTCACCATGTGTTTTCCATCCAAAGATTTCGTATATGTGCAGTTCAGTTAGATGACAAGGGTTGGCCTTCAGCGCAGAGGCGACAATTTCACACTCAGTCTTTGAAAGTGAACAACCAACAAGTCTGTGAAAAAAAGAAACAGTCAGCTTTAATTAAATCAAGCAATCTATATTATAGGAGCACACTAAAAATGATTCCTAAATAGTAATATTTTAATCTAATGAATATCTGGACTTTAACTTAATTTCCTTTGTTTTACATTATACAGTAACACTTCTCAGTCACTTATTTAGCTATGGTTCCTAGATAATAATGAACATGCTTACAGTCATGACTGAGTTGTGGACTTGTTGTGAGTCTGGTTTCATTTGAAGCTGCATACAATTGTAGTGATGGAGAATAATTGAGAAGATGTGCAAGGGGTTCAAATAGCTCAGGTTATATGTTTATAGAACAACATTATGGTTTTAACACCAACATTTTTCACTGCTTATTGGTAAAATCCCTGTCATTCATGCTGAGGTCTATTTGCTGTTTGCTGCAGGAAAAATGTGGATTCACAAAAAGAGTTAATTGACATCACCTTTGTTTTGCTTTGGATCATTTTTAGATCTGTATCTAATCTTCCTTTCCTATCTGAAAATTTGTGAGAATAGTTCTGAGAGTGTGTAAATATATAAATAAAGGTATATTTTTTATAGCACCTTCCACAAAACTCACAAAGTGCTTTAAAAAGGTGCAGAATTAAAAGATAAAATAACATATAACATGATTATAAAATAGTCTTAATAAAAAAGCTGCTACTCTGGAGTTGATACATTTGAGATTGCTATTAAAAGCCTGAACAAAATCAAGGGTACATAATGAGAGTGGGAGATCACTCCAGAGCCTTTCATTCAAAGTTCATTACACAGGCAGGTTTGGTAGGTAGATGTGATGTGCAAGGCCCCTTCTATATTGGCAGACAAGATGGACAAGCTAGCTATCTTGTTCATCAAGAAGTATGGGCCTACCAAGATGTCTGTCAGACGTAGAGCTGTTTGGAAGGAATATGCTACAGTGGTGACTGCTATCTATCAGTCATGGATACAGCCGGAAAAGACCCGACTGGCACTGGAGATGAGGAAACCAACCGAGCAACTGGTGAGAGCAGCTGACTTCCACTTACAAACAGGAAGGATATGGGAAAGCCCAGAAGGAGGTCAACTTGGCAGTCAGCAGCCTGAAACATGGTGAGGTGTTGGGTAGTGTCCAAGAGGGTCATGCAGGATGGGGAAGGGCGAGACCCCTTTTGGTTGAAAGCCTCAAAAGAGCAGCGGAGAGCCATGGTGGTGGCAGAAGTGGCCAGGTACAGAAGGAGACACAAATTGGTGTTGAGCAGGCTGGCAGAGGCGGCAGAGGCATGCAGACAGGAGGCTCACGGCAGACCTCCTGCACCAGTGATGCTGCCCATCCTCTTCAAAAGAGACAAACCAAAACCTGCCCACTGCACATTACCATCAAGCCTCCTCTCACCTGGCAGTGAGTGAGCAATGGGGGTCAATCTGGGGAAACAACTTCAGTTTCCCAGGTAGGAAAACTGAAGTTGGGGCCAGACCTGATCTTGTGGTCAGTTCCATGCAAAACTATACTCCTGGTGGAAGTCACTGTCCCATGGGTACACATAAGCCATTACATGCCCTATCATAGTGGAGGGAATGTATAGGTTCGCCTTCTCTGCAACCTTGAATGCACTGAGGCTGGACATCCCAAAGCAATCAGAAAATTGGCAGAGGAGGCAGAGTTGGCAGTTTGTGGCTATGGCTAATGAGCAGAGATAGGGGTGGGGGGCTTAAACCTAGGGCATCACTAGAGGGTGGCAGGGAGAGATCCCTGCCCGCTCGACTGTCAAGAGATGTACTAGGGTTAAAGGAGAAAATCATCCATGACTCGTGGTCCCCAGATGATGACCTGCTCAAGCCCAGGGGTGTGCAAGGCACACATGTTCAAGGCCCTGGTATAGGTGCATCAGGCAGTAACACCCAGCAGGTAGAACCTCACCATGTATTTTCAACACTCCAATAAACTTTTAAACAGTTTCCTTGCGATTAAATTTCGTTGTGAATTTGTGCCGTATAAAAATTATATTTGTATTAATGAGTTTAAACTGTCAAATGCCTGTGGCTGATTGGAATTTTAAAGAAAACAATCTTTAAATGAAACATAGTTTTTCTTCTTGTTTCTTTCCATTTGAAAATAAAATCTAATGAAAACTGGATCTTGATTTCGATGATAAACATATTCAATTATAAAATATTAGAATCAACTAAATAAGAATCACATCTGGACTTACCGAGCCCTTCTGCAGTTTCTCACCACTGGAACAAGTCTCCGCCGTCCCCTTTCTGAAGTGTTATACTTTCCTAGGTCCAACTCATCCAGAACCTTCTCTGACATCTGCAGCATGTATGCCAGAGCTGAGCACTGGAACAAAGAGAGCTCATTTTCTGATCTTTTCTCTGATTTCAGGAACTGTTGGATCTCTTCATGAACTGAGAGATCTTTCATCTCCATCAGACAGTGGAAGATGTTGATGCTTTTGTCAGGGGAAATATCAGTGTTCATCTCCTTCAGATTGTTGATGATTCTCTGGATTGTTTCTGGACTATTTTTGCTCTGACTCAAAAGGCTTCCTAAAAGTCTCTGGTTGGATTCCACAGAGAGGCCATGAAGGAAGCGAGAAAACAGGTCCAGGTGACCATTTATACTCCCGAGGGATTTCTCCATGGTTCTCTTCATGAAATCCTCCAGAGATGTTTCATTGTATTTTCCTCCCAGGAAGTTCTCCACCACCTCTTTGTTCCTGCTGGTGAAACAGTGGAGCATGTAGACAGCAGCCAAAAACTCCTGGATGCTCAGATGAACAAAGCAGTAGACTGGTTTCTGGAAGATCACGCTCTCTCTTTTGAAGATCTCTGTACAAACTCCTGAGTACAACGAGGCCTCTTTGACATCAAGACCACACTGCTCCAGGTCTTCTTGGTAGAACATGATGTTACCTTTTTCCAGATGTTCCAATGCTACTCTCCCCAGCTTCAGAAGAACTTCCCTTTCAGTCTCCAGTAGGTCTGGAAATCTCATTTCATGTCCTTCTTGGTACTTGTTCTTCTTCCTCCTGTTCTGGACCAGCAGGAAGTGTGAGTACATGTCAGTCATGGTCTTGGGCAGCTCTCCTTTCTGCTCTGTGGAAAACAAGTTTGCCAGAACTGTACCAGTGATCCAACAGTATACAGGGATTCCACACATAATGTGGAGGCTCCTGGAGGTCTTAATGTGGGAGATTATTCTGCTGGACATCTCTTCATTACTTAACCTCCTTCTGAAGTATTCCTCCTTCTGGGCATCAGTGAAACCTCGTACTTCTGTTACCCTGGAAACACAGGAAGGTGGGATCTGATTGGCCGCTGCAGGTCGGGAAGTTATCCAGACCAGAGCCGAGGGAAGCAGGTTGCCCTTGATGAGGTTCATCAGCAAAACATTGACTGATGACTTCTGAGTGATGTCTGAAACAAGCAGACTGTTATTGAAGTCCAGAGAAAGTCTGCTTTCATCCAGGCCATCAAAGATGAAGAGAAGCTTCCAGACAGCCAGCTTCTCTGCTGGGAGCTTTTGGAGGGTTGGATGGAAAACATGGAGCAGCGTGAGAAGACTGTGCTGCTGATCTCTGATCAGGTTCAGCTCCCTGAAGGAAAGCAGAACCACCACACTGACATCTTGGTTCTCCAAGCCCTCTGCCCAGTCCAGAGTGAACTTCTGGACTGAGAAGGTTTTCCCAACACCAGCGATGCCGTTAGTCAGAACCACTCTGATGGCTCCATGTTGGTCATGGAAGGCTTTAAAGATGTCTTGGCACCTAATTGGAAAATCATGGAGGTCCTGGATCTTGGAAGCTCTCTCTAACTGCTTCACCTCATGTTGAGTATTAACCTCTTCACTCTGTCCCTCTGTGATGTAGAGATTTGTGTAGATCTTGTTGAAGAGGGTTCTATTTCCCTTTCCATCACTTCCTTCATCCACACATTCAAATCTCCTTCTCAGACTGACCTTATGGTCCTCTAGAACCTCCTGCAGACAAGCATCTGCTGCAACAAAGAAGAAAAGACAACTGATGGAAAGAAATACTTATTTCTGATAAATTTGGAACAAAACCATCTATACATTTAGAAGGTGTTATCACTATAAGCACTCTTACTTCTGATTTTGTGATGCCAGAGATGAAATTGGTCAAAACCAGAACACTGTTAATTTGTAGAACATCACATGTCAGTGTCAAAGTGTGACTGAAGCTATACTTGGTTAGTTCCAAAGTTGTTTTCTTTACCTTGTATGATTTTATACAGTGCACATATGAAGTATTTTTTTATTCTATTAAATGTTTGCTTTATATTAAGTTTTATTAACTCATTGTTATGTGCATCAGTGACAACCTGGACTACCTGATTTGGTACAGCGAAATGTAATTATTGCACCCACACCCCTCAGCTCGATTGCACAATAAGCAATCAGTGGCCTTTTTATGGCTGTTTTAGGCAGAAGCACTGGGAGGAAAGAAACAACTGTGATGATAGAAGAATTGCCATGGAAAGTCATAATCAATGATGTCTGGTCTGATCACTCATTTCACATACCAGCTTAGCTCTACACAGTCCTCATTACCCGCTCATCTTATCCACCTGCAGTAGTCACTATATAACCAGTCTTCAGACCAGTCATCAGTGCCAGACAATTTCAAGCCTTTGGTGAGCATTCTTGTGTTCTGACTACCCGATCCCAGTCTTTTCTGCCTCTGGACCTCAGCCTGCCTATTCCTGTCTGATCTGTTTGTCTGACTTGTCTTCTGCCTGATGTGACTACCTTATCCAACTACCTGCCTGATTCTGCTTGTGTACCAAACGGAACTGTTTCCTGTCCACCTGGCTGGCCGGAATAGGGCAGCTTGCCTGTCCTTGTCCAGCCTGTTAGCCGCACTGTGTACTGCACCTGGAACTGTGACCCGACTCCGTCCTGGATTCTCCTTTGGCCCTGACCTCCTGGTTTTGAGAACCCACCACGTCACCGATATCAGCTATGGCTTCTCTCACCAGATCATCCTGCCTACATTAATCTGCTCCATTCTGATCTCATACCTGTCCTCCAACCACAGATACATTGGCTTCTGTGACTCTCTGTTCAACCATTGGCAGCCAGGCATCTGTAATCAGTGAAATTAGTGGCTCAAACATTCATGATCATTCACTCCCAGAAGATGTGGTCACCAAACTGTGCTCTCCACCCGCAGAGGTTTCTGCCTAAAACCCCGATGCCACTTACACGATTCAGTTATCAATAAAATTTCTGAGAAATCTGTTTGTCTACCATGAATACTGGGTACTTATGTTCTGGCCCTGACATGGAGACGACCATGGGCAGGGGAGAAACCCTAAGTATGGCTGCAGGCACTGGAGAAACTACATGGACAGGATCCGGTTCACGTCCTGGCCAGATGCCCTGTGTCGAGTGTGCCTTTCTGTGCTGTGAGTGGTTCCAACCTGCAAAATAGGATCAGTCACTGCTGACTACGTCAGTGAGCTGTACAATTTCATCACTTCTTTTTGTGTGGGTTTCTCTCCTTTATCACCATGTGTGTTTCTTCAGTCTGAGCTTACTTTAATGCATACTGCCTCTGTCTGCCAAGCTGCCATGGAATGCAGCTTGCTTTTGGCCCAAAAGTA